ACACCCACCGATCGCGCAGTCACTCGCGCCCTCCCGGGGTCCTCTAGCCCGCGGGCCACGCGCCGCGCCCGCCGCCTCCTGCAGCTCCCGGGTCTGCGCGCCCCAGGTAAGCGGCCGCACACCTGCGCCCTGCGCCCGGCACCTGCGGCCCACGCTCGCCAAAGGGGACAGGAGGGAGGAAGGGCCTGGGGCCGCAAAGTTTGCCTCCCTGAACGAAGTGGGGAGGGCCCAGCTCTCCGCGCCTAAGGGCCAGGAGTTGTCTGGGCCAAGGCCGGTTGACCGGGCTGAGGAAGGCTCTGGAGGAAGGGGCGTGAGGAAGGGCATCGCACTTTTGGGCCAAAGCAGTGGATCCCGAGAGTGGCCCCGGGGAGCCAGTTGGGTAACCAGCGGCGAGCTGGGGCAGAGATAAGGGTGTGGGCTATGGGGGCTGGGTAGCTGGGAAGGGGCAGAATCAACTTTCCCCACCGCTTCTGATTTGGTTGGAAGGCGTCAGGACAGCTCCAGCCTGGGGATGGGCGACTCCTTCACTAAGCAGTGGAATTGGATTTGGGCCACCCCTCCCCCCCTTGATTGCCTCCCTCCACCAAGAGCGACCTGCCCAGGGTAGGCACTAAGTCATCGCTGGGAGATACCCGGGGTCAACTACTTTCTAGGTGGCTGCTAGAATCTTCTCCAGGTCTCCTGCTACCTTAGTTTCTCCGAGGTAGGAATTTAGCTCCCTGATGCTACAGACACCCCTTGGCATCTTCTTTCTTTGAAAAGCTCCATTTCTCTCCACCCTTCTCTCCCCTCTCTGCCTGTAGGTTTCTGTCTTCACTATTCTTTCCCCACACTACCCCTTTGGGTCACCGTGTTCTCCCTTTCAATCTCCGTCTCGACTTCATTCGAGTTACCAGTCTCACCCCCTCCCTATTTGTTCATACCCAGGCGCCCCCTCGCACCCCCCCATGGCATTAAGTGTCCTTAATGGACACGTTAATTAAACTGTAATTAATCATACTGTCCAGCCTAAGTTTGAACAATTACCCTAATCAAACAGAAGTTAATAATGGCAGGGATGGCCCGGGGCGCGGCGGGCCGCCCGGGCAGGGGGCGCAGCGGCCACTGAGGCTTCCGACGTTGGCAGCAGCGGCTAGCGCAGCCCGTCCTTGGGACCCGAACGGCGCCATAAATCTTCCGCGGCCAGCGGCGCGGGGTCGCCCTCGCCCCCGCCCCCTCGTTTTCCCTTTCTCTCTGGGTTACAGGCCCTCTCCCCTTCTGCATTCCGCCTCCTCTGGGGTTCGTCACTCCTTCTCCTTCGTCAGTCCACTTCTCTCCTCTCGTTTTTCTCTTCTCCCCTGGCTCGCAGGGACCCTGGGAGAATCCTCTGGGGGAGGCAACGGATGGCCCAGGCCTTGCCCTTGGAGAGAGGGGGCCCGGCCTGACTCGTTTGTCACCTCCTCCCCTTGGCTAACATGTTATCCGAGGCCTCAAAAACTACCCCCAAGTTTAAGGGTTCTGTCTGCTCTGCGGGGTCCCTTCTAGAGTGGCCTCTTGCTCTTTCACCTCCCTCGGTTTCCATCTTTCTCTCTCTTGGACCTCCTTGCCTTTCTCTCTTTTCTCTCAGAATCTGCTCAGTCCTTTTCTCTGCCTCTGTTCCCTCCATTAATGTGTCTTTCCCAGGCTTTGCTTCTGTCCCGCTCTAACTCTACCTCTCTTTACCCTCCCCCGCCCCGTTACACTTCCCTCCGAGGTAAACAGAAACCCATTTTCCATCCCAGTCCGAAAGCCACCCCCACCCTCCACCTGCTCATCCCCCTTCCCTCTGCCCGGCCTCCCCCATCCCATAATTACAATCCCGTTCGGTAATTATTCTTAGGCTCCTAATGATTTTTTAAAAGGCATCTCAGAATTCGGTGTGGTAGTGACAACGATCGCAGAGCCAGGACGCCCCCGGGGTAGTGGGGAGGTGGGAGTGGAAAGAGGAGGGGCAAAGCCTGCCTGTCCTGCCTCTATTGTACTGTGAGGGCCAACAGCGCCTCCGGGGCGACCTCTAGGGCGTTTCCGGCAGCCGGGCCCCAGGGCCCCCGGGGACTTCTCAGACAAAAGTTCCCTCCCCGGGTTGTGGCACTGAGGCGGTGCAGGGGTCGCCCCTGCGTCTCCGTTCAGCACCAAGCTGCGGACAGCTCCCTGCACCCAAGACTGGCTTCGCAGACCCCACCCAACGCTCCATCCAGGATCTGAGCTGGAGAAAGACGGCAGGCGCGTAGAGAGAGGCTGGGGAGGTGACATCGCTCTCTTGGGGGGTAGTGGTCTCCAGTGAGCGGGTCTCGGGGGTCGGGTCTGGGCTCTTCTCTGGACCAGCATCCGGTTGGTTAGTATCACCATGAACCGCATTTTACAGTTGCACAGCCGGTTCTCACAGTGGCCGTGGGAATAGGTAGGGATCATTTATTCCCATTTTACAGGCAGGAAACTGAAGGTCAGGAAGTGAAAGCCAACCCACCCAGATTCCCCAGGCAATAAGGGACGCAGACTGATTTCCCAGACGCCAAA